TCAGCAGCACCATCAGTATCACGATCAGCATCAGCATCAGCATCGACACCAACACCATCACCATCATCACCAGCATCAGCATCGTCACCCTCAACACTATCAGCATCGTCAGCATCATCAGCATCAACATCAGCATCATCATCAGTAGCATCGTAATCGTAATCGTGATCCTGATCGTGATTGCCGTCGTAATCAGCATCAGCATCAGCATCAGTATCAACATCATCGGCAGCATCTCCATCACCATCACCATCAGCATCGTCAACACCATCACCACCACCACCACGCTCGTCAGCAGCTTCATCGTGTTCGTCATCGTCGTCATCATCATCGTCAACATCATCACCAACATCTTCATCATCATCATGATCACCATGAACATCAACATCATCAATAACTTCATTAACATCGACATCGACATCGACCGCGTCATCGTGATTTTGAGAATGACAATGTTCACGATTCTCAACATCAGCAGCATCATCACCACAATCACCAACATCAGCACCACCATCAACATCAGCATCAGCACCAGCACCAGCACCACCACCACCATCTCCATCTCCATCAGCATCCTCATCATGATCACCCCATCATCGATCATCGACCCTCATTGGCATCAACACCGACATCATCATCACCATCGATCATCGTCGTCATCATCCACATCATACTCAGATTCCTTATCATCTTTATCACGGTTCCCTAAGCCTGGAGCCACGAGGTGTCACACCTGACGGCTTCCCGTGCTCCCTCGAACAATCGCCACCAATAATGCTGGGCTGGCACGGTGGCGGGACTTGCCGTAGGCAACTGGGTATTGCCATGTCCTGTTCGACTCATCTGCTAGAACTAATGGCTCTAAACGAGATCAAATGTAATGGGGATTACTTGTATTGGACGTTGTTTGGACGTTGAATGCATTACATTACTTGAGGACTTCAACCATGTTGCTTAGGCTCTTGTCGGGCCCCTGAAGCCTCACGGGAACCTCCGAAGACCTCTGGAGACCCTCGGAGAACCTCCGAGGAGGACGGGAGATGTGAAGTGAAGGAGGACAAGGATAGCTGGGCCAGGGCTTGGGACGGAAGGAGCTTCTACCCAAACAACCAGCGTGACCCCAGTTCATTCCATTGCAACATCGAATGGTGCAGAAATGGTGCGCAGATTTCTTTCGAGAGGAGATACTGCCAGTAACGCCCTCAAAACTGATATTTGCTGTGGTGTAAAGTTGCGCTACTTCGGCGACCGCCACTTATCACATCGCTCTGTTTGGTGATCAAACCGCGGCCTAGCCAAGGAAGGGGAAGGGAGGAGGGAGAAATGAACAGAAAATAGGAGTTCTGGGAAATTGCTTGCGCATTGGGCCGCGTACGCCTACGCAGGGGGCCCCTGCACAGGGACCTCCTGGGACCTCCAGAGGAACGTGCCTGGGAGGGGGGAGGAAGCCGCTACCGCCCAAGAGACAAATAAGGCCTGCCAGATTCGGACGGCGGCAAGCGCGGCCGATGCTCCAAGAAGCCTCCGCGCTAGGCTGGGAAAGGCGGTTTTCGAACGCTTCGCTCAGACCGCGCCGCCGCCGCGGCCCCATTGGACCGCCCTGGTGGAGCAAGTGTCGGGCGTTGCTTCATGGGGGGGGAGTAACCAGGACGTGAAGAAAGGTGCACCTTTCGTGCACCTTTGGTTTGGTGTCTGCTTCATGGGAACCTACGTGGACCCTGGCTATGCCCGACTTGAGCCTGATTTGGAAAGGATGTTGAACGGTTTTTGAACTGGATTTTGAACTGGATCTGGACCAACTTCGGACCAAATGGAGCAGCAACAGGAAGAGCGAGAAGGAGCAGGAGGAAGGGCCCCATGCGGCCCAAATGCAGGAAAGCTGATTGCAACATCGCCGCCTACGGCTCCCATGAACAGATATCAAACTTCGGGGCCCCAGGGGGCCGCTTTCGTGGGCCCACCATTGTGTCGAACCCCCATTACCAGACGTCCGAAAAAAGACGGGATCCAGACTCGGCCGGGCTGTGCCACTCCCAAGCGTCTGAGACGCATGAACAAAAACGAGGCGGCCGGTCCGATTTCATTTCCGGCCTCAGGAAGCGGGTGTCGGGCCTCAGGACCGGCAAACCCGGGCAATCCGAAACGCTGGAAACATGGAGCGGCCTGTTTGTCAGTTTTCGGCCTCTGGGGGCGCTTGACGGGCCCTGGGACCATCGAATCAAGCACATAGGGCGAAAAGCTGGCCCTAGGGAAATGGTCCAACACAACAAATTGAAGCGGCCGGATGTCTGCGAACGCGACTCGGAATGAAAACCCGGCCGTAGGGAATAGGCTGGGCAATTCCGGAGGCTTACGCATAGATCGAAATTCTCATTGCCCGATACCTGGGGTGGAGCAGCTGGCAGGCTGCAGATCAAAGTCCGATGCTTCGACTGTCTCAATAACGAGAAAGAGGATGGCACGATAAGAGAAAGAAGAACCGAGAGAGAGAGAGAGAGAGAAAGAGAGCGAGAGATGTGAGAGCGATTCTCAGCCACACCTGCGAAATCATAATAAGACTGTCCTGGGCGACCTCCAGGGTCGAAGCATGATCTTCCAGGTTGTCTTGGGCCCGCACAAAGCAGAATGACTTAGTAGTGTCTTCGATATGGCGATCGGATGACAAACCCCACGAATCGGCACTCCTTTCCATCAGGACGGCTCTTCATCCGAGTCATGTGTTGACGGTCCATGGGCCTGGTGAGGGCCGGAGAAACATCAAGAAGACGGCGAAAAACCTCCGTCTTGCTGTTGACAATGCATTGGATCAGCACGCTCGGATAATAATGATTCTCCATCGTACTTAAGGACTACATCCCAGAAATAATTTCGACCACCCAGACATGTATCGAAACAGTCTACCCGACACACTAGCTAAGGGTCGTACGAGTATCGCCTTCCAGGGCCCGACACGTGAAAACCCTCTACTTTCGGTACTTTCCTGGTGCTCGAGATTCTTGCTGGTGATCAAGGCTGGAATCGGAATGGGGACGGACAACAAAAAAGATTATGCCCGATGACAAATGATGTCCCCAACCGGCAGCAACCATCGCTGGGCAGGCGGAACGGGAAAACGAAGCTGCGACGGGAAACAAAAACGACTTCCGTTGCTATGTCCCACAGCGCGAAGAGATCTGAAGATCAGGCCAGATTGGAGTCGCTTAATGGAGGGGAAGCGATAAACGGGGGGGAGGGGAAGAAAGGTGCACCTCTCGCGCCTTCAAGGCCCCCGTTCTAGGCACCAAAGGGCCCCTTCAGGGGCCCTCAAGTGTCCCTTTTCTGTCGCCCTCGCTGCCCCCCCCATGTATCGCCTCCCCATTACACGGCGCCCAAGCCAGGTCGCGCCGCTGGTCTCCCGAAGACCCGACCCTAACCCCAGAGACGGAACATATGCCATGAGGCTCCCAAGAAGCCCCTCAGAGGCCCCTCAGAGGCTCCGAAGAGGCTCCCAGGACGCCTCCAGGAGGCTCCAAGCGTGCCTCACGAGTGCTCCTCTTCTCCCTTTCCTCCTCCTCCTCCCCCTCCTCCTCCACGTCCTCCTCCTCCTCGTTCTCCTAATCCTCCTTCTCCTCCCTCCCCTCCTCTTTCCTCTTGCTCTCCCACGTGTTTCCCCATTGAGCTCCGCACCGGCTGAAGAAACACATCGTCCAATATCATAAGGAAACCCCCGAAGGCCTCGCGCGGCAACTTGAGGCCCAATTTACGTCAGATCCACGTCGGATTCACGTCAGACTTGTATCGGACTCACGTCGGAATATTGCCGCGCGAATGGCGTGCACATTTGACGGGGCGGACGTGCGCACTGGATAGTACAATGCGCGCCGCGCGAGGCCTCGAGAACTGTCCTCATATAATAGAATCTCTTGTCGGCCCGGTGGCCTGTTGAGGGCCGTCAAGAAAGGCAGAACATGTGCAAAAACCGTCCGTCGTGTCGTGTCGTCCCCCTGCACTCTGCCACCCTGCTCCCGCCCGCTGGTAGAAAGAAGGCAAATACCATTTGTCGCGACGTTCTCATTCGAGCGCCCAAAACGGTTAACCGCTACGGAACACATGGATACGATATGTCCAGCAACACATGTTGTCCCAAGCTGGCAGCGGCCGATGTTGGGCAGGCGGCCTTCTGTCTCAGATGCACAACGCCTGCGGCGATGCCGACGGCGAGTCGTGCTCCAAATGATCGGCGTCCACATCCTTTCCGTACCAACTTCGACCGCACTGATTTCAAGATGCGAGGAGATCAAGCTGTAAGACTGCGAATTGCGCACAGACAGCCCCCTCAAGCAGTCCCAGCTGGCCTCAACAGGCCACCCGAGTAGTCCCAACTGGCCTCAACAGGCCCCCCCGAGTGATCCAAGGTGGTCTCAACACCCCACCACTGGGGTGCGGAGCGCCCCCCGACCCTAGGGCTGCTGAGACTGCCCTGGACTACCCAGGGGGCATGTTGAGGCAAGCTGGGACTACTCGGGAGGGCCTGCTGAAGGCAGCCAGGACTACCTGGGGGGGCTGGCTGTGCGCAAGCCGAAAGCCTTGCCAAGATCAAGGGACATGAACGCAAACTTTCGGATGTCCCCGATGATTTTCTGGATCGGCATTCGACCCATTCCCTGGCGCGCGGAGCGCGCCAGGGGCGGCGCTGGCGGCGCCGCCAGAGGGCCCCAGGGAGGCCCCAGCGCCGATCCGAAAAATCCGCGCAGAACTCCGAATGTTTATGGCTACGGCAAGTTCGCGTCATGTCAACCCCAGCGTTGGTTCCTGACACCGCGGGGATCGTTCAACCTTGAGCGATCGTGTTTCCGAAACGTCAAATCGTTCAACATCGACCGGTTCTGGGCCGCCGGAAACGTCCAAGGGCAGGGCTGCCGCCAACCAAGACGACACGGCACAACGTGTGCCAATTTTCCCTCCTCGAGACCAAGGGACCCAGCCGCACAGCCGCGGCGTGCCCAGGGCCGCCCCCGGTCCAGCAGCTGCCGGGACCACTCCCACCGCTGGCAAGTCTCGGCCACCTGCCGCGGGAGGCAGGGTGCCGCGCCGCGGTCGCCGTCGTCGCTGTCGTCGCCGACGTTGACGCCGTCATCGTCGTCGTCGTCGCCGTCGCGGACATTCCTCGTCGTCGTCATCGTCATCGTCGTCTTCGTCTTCGTCAACATGGTCAGCGTCGTCGTCCCCGTCCTCGGCGTTGCCTCCCGTCGTCGTCGCCCTGGTCCGCGCCGTTCCCGTTGGGGAAGGTGAGGGAGGCACGGAGGGAGGACGGACAACCGCCGACCCCACCCCAGCCGAGGCGGCCATCCGTCATTCGCATTCTAATAGGGTTCATACTTCTGGGGGTCACAGTGCGCCAAGGTAAAACAATGAGAACACACAGTTGTTGAGAAAAAATTGCCCTGGGACAATCCCTGGGAATTGCAAAAAGGAATTGAACAACGTCTCCGCCACCGTGCCGCCTGGAAAATTGAAAGGTGGTAGACTACCAAAAGCTGCCTATCAAAATTTCCCCCCCTTGACCCCTATCCCCTTCATCGTCATCGCATCCAGCCGTGTGCATCACCCCCTCCCCTCCCCTATGAAAAACGACGCTGGATCTGGGTTTTCGCGGCAACTGTCCCTTGCAAAAGAAACCGTGGGCCCCTGCTCCCGAGGCCACGACTCTTAGAACAAGCAATGGGTCTCACGTGCCAACACGCTCTCACGTGCCAACATTGAATCCGCCCCTCCGAGCCTCCAAAATGGACGAGACACACCAGCAAGGCAGCCAGGAGAGCCCCAAAAATGCCCCCAAGACGGCCCAAGATCGCCCCAAGGCAGCTCAAGGTGGCCCCACGACGGCCAAAGAGGCCCCAAAGACGACCCAAGAAGGCCACAGGAGGCTCTCAGCATGGCCCGAAGAGGCCAGGCATTGCCAAACACATTGGTTTCCCCACCGTGTTTGACAGATGTTCACGTCTTCACATTTCCCTGTTTCCTTCAGCTCAAAACAAGCCTAGGCGGCAATGAGGGCCAAAGGACGATCCAAGAGAGTCAAATACACGGCCAGAGAAGGCCTCAAGACGGCCAAGACTGACCTCAAGACTGCTCCACGCCAGCCCAAGGCAGCCCCAATACACGCCAAATGATTCACATGAGCTCTGTGCGATCTGCTCCAGAAAGCAAGAGAACAAATGGTGTCCCATGTGACGGCCGTCCTCATCCTGGTCCTCTTCCTCCTCCTCATCACCATCATCACCACCAATACCATAGACATCATCGTCACCATCCCCCCCCTGCTCCTCCTCTCCCGCCTCCTCCTCATCATTAGCAGAATCACCATTCGGATCCACATATCGACAACTTAAACCGTCAACATCGTTGTCATCCCTATCACCACCACCATCATCACCACCACCATCATCATCCCTCGCATGTTGTTCCTCATCGTCCTCTTTCTCCTCCTCCTGCTCATCGCGCTTATCTTCACACGCATTCCCAATACCGCCGCGATGCGGAAGAGAATGTCAGATGTTGCGGCTCTCCCCCAAAACTCGGGACACGAGGCGTCACATGCTAGGACGTCCTGTCAATCGCCACCCAAGATTCTGGGCTGGCGCAGTGGCGAAACTCCAGGCGGAATCGAACGTACCTTTCCCTACCCCCGACAAGGCTGACCCCCATTCGCAGGCGTAAGGCACCCTGCCAACGCGGTGGCGGGCGACCACGCAGCGACTGTCCGACAGATGAAGATCAAGCGGGCTGGCCTCAATGACCCCGCACATCCTATGTCATGATGTTTGTTCCGTGCGGGCCAAGGCCCCCCGAAAACTCCGACCTTTGGGGGGCCCAAGGGCAAGCTGACAATCTCAAGACGTTCCCTGACGGACCTGGGGCCTGGTGAAAATGGTAAGAACGCTTGTTGCCTTGATGCAGGATGACGATAACCGGATACCCCCGATAATCACAGCCAGGGGATGATGAAATCCGGGGCTCGGGGGAGGGGATCACAGAATTCTCGTCCCGGCAACTAGCATGTACGGAAGTAGGGATGGGAGGCGTTCCTCAGGGAGCCTCGGGACTAATATCTGCGGATGCGGGTCCCCACTTAAAAAGTTACGGCATCGAGACTGTCTGTCCCCAGCACCTCGGTGTTTCTCGTCAGAGGCCTAGAGCTCGCCCTGTGTTTGGAGGTCCTTGGCGGAGCGCGCCAAGAAATTTCTCTGACGAGCAGTCTCGAATCTGAAATGGTGAGAGGCCCATATCCCTGCCACACGTTCGTGATAGCGGTGCTACTCACAATCCGCTGGCCCCCTGGTGGGGCCATCAGGCTGCGAGGCTCAGGTTTCAGTACCCTCACTAATTGCAGCTTGCAGCCTGCAATTTTACAGTCGTGCCTTCTGCTTCCCACTGTAAAGTGTTGGAGTCCGCGCGAAGGGGGGGAGCCGAAGAACACCCGGCTACCCTCCCCGAGTCGCGTTGTCTGACTTCCTGCGGGGCCATGGGACGCGTGAAAATACACGAGGTTTGCGCTCCCGACGCTATATATATATATATATGTATATATATATATATATGTGTTTGTGTGTGTGTGTGTTCCCCCCTTTGGGGCCAGAGAACATTTGTTATCTGAACGGCTCATCGTTCCGCGAGGACCTGTTCGAGGCAGACACGCACAGACAGGATCGAAAAGTGTCGGCAGCCAGACCACTCAGAGAGCTAGGAGGAGTCGGCTTGCGGGGGGGGTCGGGCGCGCGGGAGGCGGGCGGAGGCGTGGCCGGCGCCCAGCGCCCCCGGGGGGCTCCATGTTGGACCTCCCAGGCTGCGCCAAGCGCGCGCGCGTAACTTGCCCGCGCGCTCACATTCGCGCAAGCGCATCCTAAGAAGCTATGATTTGGATCGGAAGCGGGCGACAACGGGCATGGGGCGCCTGTCAAGGCTGCTTCTGGGAGCGATTGCTGCTGGCCCGGCACGCGCGATATGCATGTGACGACTTTTGGATGACGGGCGCTGCGCCGCCCAATCCAACGCGGCAATGGCGCGGTCCGGGGCGCGCGGCCGTCGCGGCACACGGCGGTCGACGTGGCCGTATGGGGCGCGCGATCGGCCGCGCGGTATTGGCGGGCCATTCGGCCGACGCTGCCGGGTCGCCCTCAAACAGCCCGCCAGGAATACGCAAATGCGCAATGCGCCAGCGCGCCGCCAGGATATCGCCCTGAAAACAACCTGTTCACTCTGAACGCCGACTGCGCGCCTCGCTGAACCAGCGAAGTCGCGCGGCGCGCCCGCGCCGCGGACCCGACGCAATGAACTCGCGGGGCACCGATTCTGGCCTACTTCCCCGTTCTGGCCGGTTCTGGTTCCATCGCCGATTCCCCCTTTGATTCCGTATTTATTCCGTGCTGATTCTTTGGATTCCGCTAGAATCAGGGGTCGCAGTTGTGCCGATTCTGTTTTGATTCTGTACTGATTCCGTGCTGATTCCTTTGATTCCCCTGTGCCCCGGGGACCATCAGGCCGCGGCCCGAGCCCCCGCCTCGGCGGCGTGGTTTTTCCATGAGCGCGGGAGAGTTTTGAGGGGGAGGGAGGCGGGGGGGGAGGCGGAGCGATTTTGGGGCGCATCGGGCGGCCGAGCCGCAGATGTCCGGGCCCAGTGCGCACGCCCAACATGGCAGGCGCGGGCGCGCGCGCGAGTTCTCGACCGTCGGCGCATCTGTAAGTTCATAACCCGTCCCGCGCGCGGGAATGGAAACTTGCGTTGCGGTTTCCACTTGAACGCGCGGCCATCGCAACTGCATCGTATTGCTCAGCGCGCAAAGCGCACGCAGCATGGGGGGCTTTGCGTTCTCGCATGAGAAGTGCGCGGGACCGACCCGAACGGTCGGCGGCGCCCGCTCCTGCGCCGCGCGCGAGGCCATCGCGTCAGCGCGGGAGGCTACAAGGGCCTGGGCCGTCGCCCTGGGGCGCGGGCACAGCGCGAGGCCCGCGCGGGTCTCTCGCGCCAAACATGCGCAACAAGGTGGCGCTCTGCGAGGCCGACTCCGGAGGATTCCTGAGAGTCCCGGGAAGGGGCAGCGGGCCGCGATGGAATCGGCGCGGTCGTTGGCGCCCCCCCCGCGCCCGCCCCCCCCTGCAAGCCGACTCCTCCTACCGAGAGACAGAGATAGAGAGAGAGAGAGAGAGAGAGAGAGAGAGAGAGAGAGAGAAAAAAAAATAGAGAGAGAGAGAGAGAGAGAGAGAGAGCGAGAGCGAGAGAGAGAAAGAGTGCAGGGTGGCACGCGGGTGGGAGGCTCGAGCGAAAGTTGTCCCAAAGGTGGCGGCCTATCGGACGGGCTGGCATTACAAACTCGCGTGGGACACTACAATGCAATCCCCCCCCCCCCCTTGGGACCAGAGAACATTTGTTTATCTGAAAAGGCTCGCCGTTCCGCCAGGAACCGTTCCGCCAGGACCTGTTCGATGCCGAAACGCACAGACATGATCGAAAAGTGTCGGCAGCCAGATCCACAATGACAGAGAAAGCCAATGCTGTCCTCTGGCCCCGGGGGCCGCAACTAAAAAACGAACCAAACAACAAAGCTAATTCACTGAAGGTGGTGACCCATACCTTGAGCCTTGAGCGGCACGAATGCATCGCAAATGGCTCCCGCGAGGGCCCTGCAGAGCTTTGGTGGGTAAGGCTCAGCCACCGCCGTCCAAAACATACCTTCTGAGTTTTTACCCTGGAGGTCAGATGAAGCCTGTGAGAAGCCGAGCACAGATTGCCCCTTTTCCTGCATATTTTCTCAACCGAGTCTAAATCGACCAGCGCGACCAAAAAAAAATCGCGCGCTTTCTCCAAGGCGCCCCGAATTGGCAACAATCAGTTGCGATTGTTTGAGAGCACGAATTGATTGCGAGAGAGGCGACCGCATGGGGCCAACCATATCCTGCTTGTTGCAGGATTATCCATGGACCCCGAAATACGCATGCGACGGCAGACGCGCAAACAAGAAACGGTGAAGCTCATTAGCACATTGCCTACGTCTACTTCGGATTGATCCCTCTCCGGTAACCCTATAAGTCTCACCCCGTGATCGTTAGATCTCAGAGGTGGCGGCGCATCGCGGGCGCAGGGCCACGAAGCGCAAGGGGCCCCGGAGTGCATCCCAAGAGTGGCTCTCCCAAGAACCCAACCACCGCCATTGCTCGCCCCAGCCTGGCGGACCCAGCGAACGCCTCGAGAAACACTCGCATCCTCGGCGGCCGCCGAACGCGCGAGGCGGCAGCGAGCCGGAGAGCGCCGCGGGGAGGTACTGCAGGCACCGCCGCGCGTGGGTCTGGCGGCGCTCGGGCAGCTTGGCGAACTCGCTGCCGAGGCGGCCTCCCTTCTCGCACCTCCTCGCGCTGGCGTCCGTCCGCTAGCGTCCTCGGCGCTTCGCGCCCGCCGGCGTGCGCCTCTGCTCGGCGAAGTCGCGACTCGCGCCCGAGTGCCGCAGGATGCGCCGCGGCGGCGGCCTCTGGAGCAGCAGCCTGGCGGCTGTAAGCTTGAAGCTCCTCGCGAACTCCGCCTGGCCGAAGGCGAACAGCGGCTCCTGCGGCCCGCGGCCCTGCGCCAGTCGCTCGCAGAGCGGCCCCAGCCACTGGTCCTCCGCGAGGTCGAGCAGCAACGACTCGTCGAACTCCCCGCATTGATGGGGAGGCTGCGCTCGTCCTCTAGCGGGCGCAGGACCAGGCCCCAGTGGGCCAGCCCGCGACTGCCCCCGACGGCGGGCGGTGCCAGGTGCTCCACGCGCACGGTCTTCCAGTCGCCAGGGCGCATCAGGAACACCAGCCACAGCATCGCGCACATCGCCATGTCCCAGCGCTGGGGGGCCAGCAGCTCCATCGCGATGGCGAACGCCACCTCGGTAGGCAGCGGCAGGCGGCTGGCGGCGGGGGCCAGGTGGCTCCACCCCTTCAGCGCCTGGCGCGCCCGAGGGAGCGGCAGCTGACCTCCCTTCCCCAGCGTGGGGTCGGCCCAGGCTATCACCGCCATCAGGTTGGACCCGCGCCAGTGGTCGAGCCCCTCGAGGCACTGCTCGTCCATCCAGTCGCAGAGGTTCTGGTCGAGAGCCCCCACCGTCCCAGCAGCCAGGGGGGCGAGCGGGCTGGGCCGTTCCGGCAACGCGCTCACCGCCAGCCATGTGTCGAGCTCGTCGAGGAACTCCTGCGGCGCACAGACTCGGTGCGCACTGACTGAATCTGCAGGTGCAGCTCCTGCCCGGCCTCTAGCGCGCGGGGCGCTCGGCGGGCCGCCTTGAGCCTCCTCTGCGGTTCGGCCTGAGCGGGGCGCCTCGGGGTCCCGCGCGGCGTCGCGCGGCGGGCGGGCTCCAGCGTCGGCGGCCCTCGCTGCGATGCCTGGCAAGCAGCGCCCAGCGTCGCCAGCCGGCGCCTCGCCAGCAACGGCATCTTGGACCGGTGGCGGCCCAGGCTCTGGCTTCCCTTGTGGGCCAGCGCCGCCGCCTCCGTAGCCAGAGTGTCCGAGACCGCGCGACGGTCCGTGGGCGCGATTCCACTCGCTGGGGAACCGGCGTCCAGCGAAGACCGCGCCCGCGGCAAGGCCATGCGCCGGCGCGCTCCGCAGGGCCGCGCAGACCCCCACGGCGGAGGATCCCCCCATTGCACAGAGCGCGAACACAAGTGAGGGAATCCAACATCAGGAGGTGCCGCGACTGAAAGTTGCGAATCGACCGGCAAAGGTGTTCAACAGCTGCCGTCCATGCAATGTTGTCTATCGGAATGCAATGTTGTCTATCGGAATGGACCACTTCTGACGCATGATGACCGCCCACCCCCGCTCCTCCAAGATAACCGGTAGGTCTGACCTAGCTATAGCCCTCTCCTGCATGTCCTCCTCCACCTCCTTCACCCAGCCGTCCATGTCGAGATCCCCCTGTGGCCCCAGAACTTCATGTCGAGACTTGGCGCGGGCCTTCCCCGATAATCTCCAACGTTCATTGACCCGCCCAAGCTGGTGAACAACATCCCGAGGAATATCGCGAGATGCAACGCCATAGCCCCAGAAGGACGCGTCCGACGCGACGACCTTTGAACTCCACGGCGCTCCAAAGTCACGACGGATCAAGGGGGTGATGCTCGGGGGCGCCTCCAGCCCCCATCGAACCGAATCCCAGAGAGCGACGACCCCACGTTCGCGATGACGCGCAATGAACGCGCAGACAGACCGAAAGATGGATAGCGACGTGCGGCAGAGGAGAGCGAGAGAAGCACAGAGACCAACCATTTTCTCAACGTCCCGAGCGGACACATTCTTGCGTCCGAGCAGTCCTTCGATAGCCAGATGGATGCGCCGTGCGCGGTCTGGCCGAGGTCGGATGGAGCCTTGCCCGCCATCGATCTCCCATCCACGCACCTCCTCCTTCTTCGAACATGTTGCAACTTCATGTGTGGGGGGACCTCGGGAACGCAGCGCTTCGCCCACCTGGCGCACCAACCTCGCGACTGTCGAGCGGGAGGTGCCCAGAGCAAGGAAATGGTCTACATAGACTGCGTGGCATGCCGGGGTGGTCGCAGGCGGAAGTCCTCGATGATGAAGGAATATCCTGGATGAGTCTGACATAACCACAGTGCGCGAGACCGCCCCATCGTCAGCACGCGAAGCCGGGGATGCGCAAACGTGCTCGGGCTCACTCGCATGCCATCCCCATCAGATAGGCCTGCCACCCAAGATGGCACCGCCGGAATCGAGAAATACCATCTGAGCCTCGCAGGCAGCTCGAAGTGGTAGAACGCATCTGTGATGTCGACAAGGCCAACATATAGCGTGCTCCCCGCGGGCACCTCCAGGCGCGAGAGCGCAGCCCCAATGCTCAGCTCGACGGGGTTGGCAGGAGAGAACCAGCAGTTCGATCGGCGGCCGCCGATCACCAGGCGCTGGTTGCCGTTCTTCTTTCTGACGAAGAACAAGGAACAACGCTCCAGAAGCTGGGCGGTGTAGTCGACCATGCCGACCTTCTCAGGCTTCTTGATCAGCCTCTGGTGCTCTTGCGGCGAGCTACGCAGCACCTCGCCCATGTGCGTCTCCCGAGGGGCGCTCTGGAGGTTATGGGCAGCTGCTGCATGTTCGAGAAGTTCAATCTCAGTAAACCCGTCGACTTCAGCATCTCCACCGGCTCCAACAAGATATGCTAGCGGTACGGGGCGGTTGCCACTCGCCGGCGGCGAAGCCTTCAACTCGTCGTAGGGCACCAAGGTGGACTGGGAGTCCTATTGCACCGCGCACCCTCGGAGCTCCTGCAGGGCTCCCGAGGGCGTGGGGGGAGGGGGCGGGCCCGTCGCCACGGCGGCGCCAAATGCACGACGCTGCACCGCCGCCTGGGGGGGCGCCACCCTGGCGCGAGACGCCAGCAGAAGACCCCTGCTTGCATCCCGCCAGCTCGTTGAGGGTGGAGAGGGCCAGGTTCGAGATGCCAGTGATCGCTTGGCGCCGTTGCGCCCGCCGACGAACGCGACGACAAGGCCCCGCGGACCGAGGAGGCGGCGCCGCGTCGCTCCCAGCCAGTAGAGGCACGGGAAAAAGCATCACGCTGTCGAGGGCCGTCTGATTGAAGCGGCTCCGAAGTACACTTCCAAAACCCCGGCGGCCCAAGACCAGCAGGCAAGTGAATTCGCCCTTCGCCAGGTACATAATGCAGCAAGCTCGATGGCGAGGCCGGGGCAGGAGGGTGAGCTTGCATCCGCCCCTCCCCCCCGGGGGCTCTCACCCCGGCTTGTCCTTCTGCTTGCGGCGGAGCTCGCGCTCCTCCTTCGTCTTCCGAATGTTCTTCATGAGGGCGGCGCCCTTCTCCACCTTGGCCTTCGCGTGGTCTAAGAACGACGGCACCGCCATCGGCAAGTCGCCCGCGCGGCTGAGCCCCGAGAAGGCGGTGGCCTCCTCGATCGACAGGCGGCTGCTCGAACCCGCGTCCGTCTCCCTGATCTTGTCATGGTAGGCCCATTCGATCGTCTGAACGCGGCGAATCGCCGCCTCCATGCACGCGAGGTTGCCAATGTCGAGTTGACCGTGCTGACCCGCCAGATGCGAAGCAGCGTCTCGTGCTCCGCGACGCCCCACTGCTCGGGCTTCAGGTGGCAGATACTGCGAAACATCAGGCGACGGTCCAACGGCGCGTGGCGACGCAAAAAGAACGAGAGGCACCGCGTCATGCTACGGGCCACTGACTGGGAAGTCCTCGAAGTCCTCCAGCTGGCAGCTGTCGACGACGTCCTTCCAGTCGCGCCCCCTGCCTCCAGCGCCGCGCTTCGCGAGGGGCGGTCGGGCGTCCGATGGCGGAGCAGGGGTGTCCGCCTTCCCTCGGGGCGAAATGCGCGCCACGAAGTCCGGCGGCTCCTCGCTAGTGTACTCCACTAAGACCCCGTCCTTGCCACCCAGCGAGAAGATGCCCTTCATGCCGACGAACACCGTCACGGGGCTTCACCTCGCGGCCCAGCTCGCACCCCAGCACGTTGTCGGACTCGACGACGCGCCAGACTCTAGTCTCAGGCGTGCCGGTGCCGCCAACCACCAGAGCGCCTGCCTCGCCTCGGCGCGGCGCTGCGGAACCTCCATCCGGCAGCCGCAGCGCGTGCTGGATGAAGGCGGCACCGAGGAGGTCCTCGACGCCCGCGCGCTGACCGTTGGCAAGACGCACGATCGGGCAGGTGGCGGGAGCCTCGTCCGTCCCAGGCGCGATCTTGGCCGCGTAGGTGGCCGCGCGCGTGATCTCGGTGCGAAGGTGCCCGTCGCCCAGCTCGCCGGCAGCGAAAGTGTAGATGTCGCCCCGAACACCGCGCGGCAAGCGGCCATCAGCTGCAAGGCGAAGCCACTCCACAGGGCTATCAGTCGGATCGCCCCCCACGATCGACTCCGCGTACTGGTCCGCATCGGGCGTACTGACGATCCAGCCCACGACGCCCGAAGCCTTCGGAGGGAGCGGCCAGCACAGCAGGCGCTCATGCCAGAGCGCGGCCCCCCCGTATCGGACCAGGATCAGCTCCCCCGGCACCAGCTCGGACGATGACGCCACGGCCAGCATGGCTCTGGCGGCCCCTGCACAGATGGGATGCGCCCAGCGAGCAGCCTCCTCCGCAGCAGCAGCAGCTCAACGTCAGCAGTAGGCTAGCGAACCACAGCGGCACGCACCTCCCGAGCGCCTCGGCGTCGCCCGCGGCCTCGCGGGCAGGCGAAGGGCAAGGAGGCGGCTCCTCCCGCTCGGGCGCTTCGCAGGCCGGGCAGGCAAGCGGCGCGCACTTCACATGCGGGCAGCTGACCGGCTGCGCCGAAGGGCAGGTGAGCGACACCTGCGGGCAGCTCAGAGTCGGAGCAGGGCGCGCAGGAAGCGGCGGGCAGGCGACGGCGGGCGGGCACGCTGGGCAGCGTCCAATCCAGGCCCCTCCCACGCTCGCCAGCCCCAGGATCGCCGCCTGAGCCACCTGCGACACCACCATGCAATGCGAACCTGGCGAAAACCCGCAGCCAGAGGGCGCGGGCTGAAAGGCTTGAGCGAAAGTAGCCCCAGAGGTGACAACTTATCGGACGGGCTGGCATTACAAACTCGTGTGGAACACTACAATATCAAATCCTTCGTGAGTTACGCTGTATTCGCGCCCCCGAAACCACGATCCTTCATACATTGCACCACGTTCGCGTCCACGAAGCCACGATCCCCCGTAGAAGAAACCGTAGTCGCGCCCCCGAGGCCACGATCTCCAGTAAACAACGCTACATTCGCGCCGTTGGGGCCACAATCGTCGTAACATTACGCCGCCGTTGCGCCCCCGAGGCCACGATCCCATGCATATCATTCAAAGCTCACGTCCCCGAGGCCAGCGACCCTTGCAAATTGCACATGTGTTGCGTCCCCGATGCGACATACCATCGTGAAATATACCAAATACGCATCCCCGAGGCCACGAACCCTTGGAAATTATGCAATTGGTGCGCCCCCGAGGCAACACATCTACGTACATTACTCAAGTGTTGCGTTCCCGAGGCAAACGACCTTCGTAAATTACACCATATTCGCGCCCCCGAGACTCGAACCCATAGGAAATTGTATGACCCGCGTCCCCGAAGCCACAAACCCTCGTACATTGCTGAATTCGTGCGTCCCCGAGGCAACACACCTTTTGCAAATTATTCAACATTCGCGTCCACACGGCCATAAACCGTCGCAAATCGCACCACGTTGGTATTGCCGAGGCCCAGAAAGCTCCAAGGCACCCGAAGGTGGTTCCAAGACGGCCCAAGAGGGCCCCGAGAGGCCCCAAAAGCACCCCAAGAGCCCCAAGATGCCAACATCGTCGATTTTACAAAAGGTTGTTGAAGGAGTTTGGGGTTCTTTCATGTTCGGCTTTCCGACACTCCAAGATGGCTCCAGAAGCTCCCCAGACCGCCTCAAGACAGCCCAAGACGCAGGCCCCAAGATGCCCCAAGAGGCGCCAAAGCCGCGCCAAAAAGGCATTCAAGAGGACCAAAATATACATCACGAGGCCCCAAGAGGCCCCCAAGAAGCGCCGAAACCGCCTCCAAGAGGCCCCCGAGAGGCTCCCCACGACACCCCAACACATATACAAGAGGCCTCAGACCCACAACCCAGAGACGGTGGCGGGATGGGCCGAAGGCCACCGGGATCCGCCGCCCCCTGCTTGCAGGGGTGCACGGCGTGCTGGATGAGTTTGGTTTTGGTTCTTTTTCTTAAAGAACTCCCCAGTGGGCTTCGGCCCGTCCCGCCGGCCACCCGCAAGGTTCCGAAAATCCGTCTGTCAATGCCCAAAAACGGCCGTTTCGCTCGGGACATCCTCAAAAAATCGCGAAGATGGCGCAAGATGGCCTCCAAGTCCGCCCGAGATGGTCCAAGACGGCCTCCAAAACGGCCCAAGAGAGTCCAAGACGGCCCAAGACGGCCCAAGAGGCCCCCCAGAGGCCTCCCAGACGGCCCAAGAGGCCTCCAAGAGGTCCTCCAGGAGAGTCCGAAGAGGCCAAAATCATTGATTTTCCCTTGGTTTTTGAAGGATTTTGGCATTTGCGCCTTTTCGGCTCTCCGACGGCTCAAGACGGCCCAAGAAGCCCCCAAGATCGCCCAAGAGGCCCCCAAGAGAGCCCCATGATGGCCCAAGTGGCCTCCAAGATGGCCCCTAGAGGGCCCCAAGAGGGCCCAAGAGGCCTCCAACACGCCCAAGATGGCCTCCCAGACGCCCAAGATGGCCTCCAAGACGGCCCTGGAGCATTCCAAGCGGGCCCCAAGTCGGCCCATAGAGGCCCCCCAAACGGCTTCCGACGGCTTCAGACGTGCCAGGAACCCACCAAGATGGCCGAAGTTGGCTCGAAGCTGGCCCGAGACGGCCCAAAAAGCCCCAAAGATCGCCCAAAGCTTGCCCAAGAGGCCTCCAAGACGGCCAAGATGACCTTCAAGATGCCCACGTGTTCCCCGAAGGCTTTCCAAACCGATTCGGGGAACACGTGGTCCGATAGCTTGGCAGGTCTGGCCTCAACGTTCGGCCACATAGGCGCTTCCAAAAAGGCAGGGGGCGGCGGTGATTCGCCGTAGGCGTCTTCGATCCGCCGCCCCCTGCTTGCAGGGGTGCACGGCGTGCTGGACGATTCAGGTTTTGGTTTTGGTTCTTTTTCTAAAAGAACTCCCCAGTGGGCTTCGGCCCGTCCCGCCGGCCACCCGTAAATCTCATAAAACCCATCTGTCAATGCCCAAAAACGGCCGTTTCGCTCGGGACATCCTCAAAAAATCGCGAAGATGGCCCAAGATGGCCTCCAAGTCCGCCCGAGATGGTCCAAGACGGCCTCCAAAACGGCCCAAGAGAGTCCAAGACGGCCCAAGACGGCCCAAGAGGCCCCCCAGAGGCCTCCCAGACGGCCCAAGAGGCCTCCAAGAGGTCCTCCAGGAGAGTCCGAAGAGGCCAAAATCATTGATTTTACATTGGTTTTTCAAGGATTTTGGCATTTGCGCCTTTTCGGCTCTCCGACGGCTCAAGACGGCCCAAGAAGCCCCCAAGATCGCCCAAGAGGCCCCCAAGAGAGCCCCATGATGGCCCAAGTGGCCTCCAAGATGGCCCCTAGAGGGCCCCAAGAGGGCCCAAGAGGCCTCCAACACGCCCAAGATGGCCTCCAGACGCCCAAGATGGCCTCCAAGACGGCCCTGGAGCATTCCAAGCGGGCCCCAAGTCGGCCCATAGAGGCCCCCCAAACGGCTTCCGACGGCTTCAGACGTGCCAGGAACCCACCAAGATGGCCGAAGTTGGCTCGAAGCTGGCCCGAGACGGCCCAAAAAGCCCCAAAGATCGCCCAAAGCTTGCCCAAGAGGCCTCCAAGACGGCCAAGATGACCTTCAAGATGCCCACGTGTTCCCCGAAGGCTTTCCAAACCGATTCGGGGAACACGTGGTCCGATAGCTTGGCAGGTCTGGCCTCAACGTTCGGCCACATAGGCGCTTCCAAAAAGGCAGGGGGCGGCGGTGATTCGCCGTAGGCGTCTTCGATCCGCCGCCCCCTGCTTGCAGGGGTGCATGGCGTGCTGGACGTTTCAGGTTTTGGTTTTGGTTTTTTTTCTAAAAGAACTCCCCAGTGGGCTTCGGCCCGTCCCGCCGGCCACGCGTAAATTTCAGAAAATCCGTCTGTCAATGCCCAAAAACGGCCGTTTCGCTCGGGACATCCTCAAAAAATCGCGAAGATGGCGCAAGATGGCCTCCAAGTCCGCCCGAGATGGTCCAAGACGGCCTCCAAAACGGCCCAAGAGAGTCCAAGACGGCCCAAGACGGCCCAAGAGGCCCCCCAGAGGCCTCCCAGACGGCCCAAGAGGCCTCCAAGAGGTCCTCCAGGAGAGTCCGAAGAGGCCAAAATCATTGATTTTCCCTTGGTTTTTGAAGGATTTTGGCATTTGCGCCTTTTCGGCTCTCCGACGGCTCAAGACGGCCCAAGAAGCCCCCAAGATCGCCCAAGAGGCCCCCAAGAGAGCCCCATGATGGCCCAAGTGGCCTCCAAGATGGCCCCTAGAGGGCCCCAAGAGGGCCCAAGAGGCCTCCAACACGCCCAAGATGGCCTCCCAGACGCCCAAGATGGCCTCCAAGACGGCCCTGGAGCATTCCAAGCGGGCCCCAAGTCGGCCCATAGAGGCCCCCCAAACGGCTTCCGACGGCTTCAGACGTGCCAGGAACCCACCAAGATGGCCGAAGTTGGCTCGAAGCTGGCCCGAGACGGCCCAAAAAGCCCCAAAGATCGCCCAAAGCTTGCCCAAGAGGCCTCCAAGACGGCCAAGATGACCTTCAAGATGCCCACGTGTTCCCCGAAGGCTTTCCAAACCGATTCGGGGAACACGTGGTCCGATAGCTTGGCAGGTCTGGCCTCAACGTTCGGCCACATAGGCGCTTCCAAAAAGGCAGGGGGCGGCGGTGATTCGCCGTAGGCGTCTTCGATCCGCCGCCCCCTTTTGCTTTAGCAAAGGGGTGCCCGGCGTGCTAGATCCTATCGGTTTTGGTTTCGGTTCTTTTTCCCAAAAAGAACTCTCCCAGTGGGGTTCGGCCCGTCCCGCCGGGGTCCCGGGTTTTTTTCCACGGACCTCACTTCACCAAGTTTCTGCCCCAGACGGCTCCAAGATGGCCTCCAACATGGCCAAGATGGCCCAAGATGGCCTCCAAGATGGTCCAAGATCGCCTCCAAAACCGCCCAAGATGGTCAAAGGCGGCCTCCAAGACGACCCAAGAGAGTCCAAGAGGGCCCCAGACGGGCCAAGAGGCCCCCCAGAGGCCTCCCAGACGGCCCAAGAGGCCTCCAAGAGGTCCTCCAGGAGGGCCCGAAGCGGTCAGAATCATTGGTTTTCCTTAGGTTGTTGAAGGATTGTGGAATTTGCTTCTTCTCGGCCTTCCGACGGCTCCAGACGGCCCAAGAGACCCCCAAGAGGCCCCCAACAGGGCCCCATGACGGCCCAAGTGGCCTCCAAGATGGCCGTAAGAGGGCCCCAAGACGGCCCAAGAGGCCTCCAAGACGCCCAAGATGGCCTCCAATACGGCCCCGAAGCGCCACCAAG